CCCCAAAACCCCAAAACCCCAAAACCCCAAAACCCCTTAAGCTAAAGAGAATATTGAAAACTTCCAAATTAAAATATTTAAATGAGTCAGAACTGTCATTTGTAAATGTGAATTCTTTACACTATCTAAACCTCAAATTTCAATTTATTAACTTATTCTTCCAATGGCTAAATTTCTGCATAGGTCTTTGAGAAGCAAGACAATAAATTTCAGAGTCTTAAAGCAGTACCTCAAAAAGGTAAAGTCACTTCTCTTGAAAGTTTGTTTCTGTTTGAAATTCTTAGCCTCATTCAGGTGAACTCCCAACGGTCGAAATCCACAGCAGGAAGGAAGATACGAGCTGATTATTACCTAAAGCTTGCTGAAGATATTAGGCATAGGTCACAAACAAGGAAATAAATTAGACTGTAGTAGCTCTTTGTACCAGTCTCTTTCCAGGACCAAATGAATATACCCCAAAGGCAAGCTCGACTTTATCCGGTAAGGGTTCAGAGTGATCATAACAGTGCTAATTATTTGGAAGATAAAAAGCTTCATGAAAGCTCACATCACAAGATGTACGGGACTTTGAATAAAAGTTCCGATCCTTGAGAAACAAAGTTTCTGTTCAATAATTTTATCAGCGAGGGATTGACGAATTCTAAAAATCAAGTCCAAGAGGAGCCAAAGAGGCTGGAAGATCAAGAGAAAATAATTCAGAAAATAAAAAAATTTAATCTAAATAAATTGAATTTAACAACATGCAATTCGATATTCAAAGCGAACACCACTTTGCCAATGAGACCTTTGGTAAGTGATATTACTAAAACTTTATTTAGAGGTCAAAGATTAAGTCAATCACCAGCCAACTCTACCAAAGAGGTAGAATAAGCAGGCAACTAAGCCACATCAGATCCAAAAAAGGAGAGAGGAAATATAGATTTTTCAGGCTAAAAACCTCTCATGAAAAGAAGCCTCTAACTCTCAGTGGAGTATTATAATGTGAATGAGAATTTCAACAATAAATTTTGATAGAGGGGTTTTGGGGTTTTGGGGTTTTGGGGTTTTGGGG